TACCCCATTTCCTCCCGCAGCCCCAAACTCTGTGGGGCTGAGTAGTGGTCACATAACAAAAAGGAAGGGAATGGTTTTATAGCCACCCAGTGTGTATATTTCAGCTACATGGAACAATCCCCTGCCACAGTTCCACTCAGCTGCGGCTTGTCCTCTTTCTCTAGAGATCCTTTGCCTGTGAGGCAAAGGCAGTTTCTCTTGTACATGTTCAGTCACAGATCTGGGCTTCCAGAGAACATACTGGGAAAGAGTTAAAATATAATCAGTTGCCTCTTGTGAACTGCACCCACAGTCTGCTTATGACTCTGGAATGCAACACTGCTCACAGGAGATCCTGCATGCTTTTGTACTGTGATCATCCATCTTTTCTTGCACGCTTTATTCAGCAGTGAAAAAGTTAATGTGAGCACCAAAATGTTCTTCCTTAGGTTCCAGAATCAGCCCCTCATAGGGACAAATAGGAGTTCCCATGCCGGGAGTGCATGTGCCCTGTAGACTGAAGCAAACAGCACCAGCTACTCTACACATGCTTTTCACCACCATAAGGGCTAGTTATTAGTCACTGGAGGATTCTCCTGACCCCTGCACAGTACCCTGAGCCAAAAACTCCTGGCTGTGCTCCTTTGCTCCTTGCAATAGGGAGCGGGGATGGACTACCTGAGGCTAGAGTAAGCCATCTCTTCCCACTGCTACTACAGTGGCCATATCTATCGTGCACGTAACATCTATGAAAGGGTTAATTTGTGCATAAGCTGGCTCCCAGTGCTAGTGACTTCTCAGGTGCATTCAGCCAATGAATTTGTTCTGCTTTAATGTTTGTAACTTAGTCTAGCACTAGAGCTTTCCTGGCTAGACTTCCAGTGAAAGGGCCTCCATTGGGGAAAGTCCTATGGAACTTAATAGAAAATGGTATTTTTCTATAGGTTGTTTTTGTTTTTTGTTTTTTGTTTTTTTTTTAACTGTCCAATAGAATTTAATAGCACATTGTATAGGATGGGCCAAAACACAGACAGAAACATGATTTGCTCTGTGTGAAACTCAGTTACTTCTCTAGAGCTCCATTTGTTTAATCCCTGTGACTTTCATTTGATAGGAGAGTAATAGCATTTTCAAAGCACTTTATAAAGGCAGCCAATCAAGCTTCCTAACGCTCTGTGTGGGAGGAAGAGAGGGAAGTGGTCCCCACGTTAAAAGTGAGGGGACTGAGACAGAGGTTATACCGGGTCTAAGACCACACACCTTTAAATTGTGTCAGTGGCAGAGCTGGGGTGTGGCTTCAAAAGACCTGGATCGTCTATCTTATTACTGGACCCTGCTGCCTCTGGGCTCAGAGCCGGCCCTGTGCACTCTGCTACTAGCAGGGCGCTGTGACAAAGTGTAACTCCCCAGCAGCCAGCCTGGCTGTCCCATGCCCTGTCCTGGTATCGAGCCCCGAAGCAGGAATGCTGCTCGCTGCGCTGGTGTAGGAAGAACTGCTCTTTGGGAAAGTCCGCTGCCCTCGGTTCTCTAGCAGTCGGCGGAAAGAGCTCAGCGGGATGCCAGGAAGCTCTGCCTTGGGGACTCTGGGAAAGCACAGGGCCCCACAGTGCACAGAGCTTACTCTGTTTGGTCTCTTCTGACCGTGTCTTACTATGGGGGGTGTAGGTTGGGGGATTACGGCTTCATGGATGGCCTAGGCCTACTGGGGTCAGATAGAGGACCTGGCTGATAATAGAGAAGAGTTTGCATCTCTGAGTCCTGCCACTGACCCTACAGGGCATGGGGATTGAATTGCACACATTGGAATTTGTCTGCTATGGTGGGGTAAAAATCTTCCTATAGACTCAGGGCCTTCTTTTCAAAGATCACACTGGGTGAATGCTGGGAGCAGTGCAGCCTGCCTCATGGGCTCGGGTTTCTGCTCCTCCAGCCTCCCCTCTGGTCTTTCTCACCATTCTTGGTGCAGGAGCCACCTTCCTGGCAACTCTTGCCACCTGGAACGGCTTTTCTGTATCTCTCCAAATCCCAAGTCTGCCTGTACCTCTCTCTGGAGATATGCTGGTGTTGCAACTGTGTTGTTTGTCAAGTTAGAGCATCGATGGAAAACCAGTCATCGGAAGGATGCTACAGATTGAAAGGTGTCTGGAGCTCTTAATGCTGTAAGATCCTTAAGATCAGAAAGGATTGGGACCTCTGTTTTAGGGCTTGTACGAAAGGCAGCAGTGCCCCCTATTGCTGTGCAGGAGCATTGCTGCAGAGCTGAGCTAGAGGGGAAAGCACCAGTGACTGAGTCAGAGTGGGCTGGTGGTATGGGATGCTCGTAATCTTGCAGCTGTGTGTGCTCAGTCAAGAGCACCTCCTCTGCCTCCTCACCCCAGTATTAAGTGTGCGCCATCTTGTATATTGTACATAGGAGACTGGCCTTGGCTGTTAAGAATACCGCAGCACCTAGAGGAGATGCATTGCTGTTGCCCAGTCACCCAACCCCACTGGGATGGGCTAAGCATGGTGTGTGGATGCCAGCAGATCCAAAGCTATGCAGCTGGCTGATGTCGGACCTGGGTGCAGATGTGGATGTGTGGCAAGGTGTGGCTTTGCACGCTGCTGTTAGAGTAACCAAGGGCAGCCCAGGCCCCTACAGTTCTCAGTGGACCAAGGCAGGCTTGATAACTGGTCTCCAACATTGAGATCAGAGTTAAAAATCCAACGCTCTTCTGATTGTGACTCAATCTGCATTGGCCACATACACTTCCCCGTCTTCCATCTAAAACAAAAGCTGATGAAAGAGGCAGGAACATGCTGTCAGCGGGGGGGAAGGAGAGACTTTTAAAGGGGAAAAGCTGTTTGAAAAATTGCAAGGAGAACAGGAGGGAAAGAAGTTCTTGGGGAGAGAAACATAAGAGTGATGTATCCCAGGGGGGTTGGCAAATATATTATGCAGAGTTCCAACCAGCACTCACCAACAGGGGTCTGCTCAGATTTGTCCTTGGAGGTTTCCTTTCCAAATCCAAACTAAGCTCTTGTTTTCCTGGAGCTCAGAGCAATCTGTGACTGCAGAGTTTGTATTAGGACCTAGCTCTCCCTAATGCTACTGATGTGATCTCTAGGCTTTTGGGTGTGTTTGCCCCACTACCACTGCTCTCTGTGCAGTAGAGAGACCATAACCTCTCTTGTGCTAAATCTCTCCACGTCCTCCATGCATTGTGGCCACAGCTGCACTGTGGCCAGCTGAACGTAGAAGAAGAATTCTAGGCTTGCACTGGCCACAAGGCATCTGAATGAGACAATGTTGGCAACTCAAAGCTAACCCCTGCCTTTCAGAGTTGGGATTGCTACAAAGCTTTGTAGCAATCCCAGTTGTGAAAGGCAGTGGTTAGCTAGCCTGGCTCCCAAGCAGGAAGTGGACTTGCCTACCTGGGAGGCGAAAGGCTTTGAGTTGCCAACATTCTCTCCTTCCCTGAGTACAGAGGCGCCAATCTCCCGGCTTACAGAACAGGACTGGGGTTTGGGAGAGCTGGTGTGTAGACCCAGTTCTGTCGCTAAGTCGAGTATGGCCTTGGGCAAGACATGTTGGCCGCTCTGTGCCTCAGTTTCCCCAACTGTGCACTGGGGATAAATGCACCCCCATCTGTGAGGCAGGATGGTGAGGCCAGGATTGATTAATGTGAAGTTGCATTAATTTAGTGTTAGCCCTTTGGCTCCAGCACTGGCCTGGTTGCGCCCTTTCCTCACTCTCCCTGCCTCCACTGGTGTGCTCTGACCAGTTTCAAGCAGGCAGATTCCTTGGGATTTCCCTCACCCAAGGGGCTTCAGTGCTCATAAAGTGTCCCTGTTTCCCAGCACCATACATGGCAGTGTGCTCGCTTCTTTCCAGTAGTTTGTTCTTCTTACCACTCTGCTTCCCAAGCTGTCTGGGGTCCCCTCAGCCCCATGGGAATGGTTTGCTCTCCCTGGCACCGTGTCTGGTTGCCTGATGAGGCAGTCGGAGCGGGCGGGGGGATCGTGCCTCACTCAGGCCAACACAAATAGCTGCAAATCCAAATACCCAAATTGTGTGTGTTCTTCGCGAGGGGCAGAAGCATTCAGGACCCCAGCAGCATCCGGGCCAAAAGAAGCAGCCCTGGCCTTGTGTTCCAGCAGTTTGCCTGGGTGGATGGAATTAGCTCCCTTACGCTGTTGGCCAGCTCTCAACGAGACCGGAGGCCACGCTTGGTTTTAGACGGCCTTCTAGCTGGGGTCCTAAGAAGGACAATCATTTGGGTTGTGAATTCTTTGTAGCTTTGAGGCATCTGGTTTTCCCTTTATGCTTCATGTCCTCTCTAACCCTGCTGTGGAAGTAGAGTAATCTGTTCCACTGCTACTGCTCAGTGTGGGGATTAACCAAGTCCTCCTTTTTATCTGCAGTGACAGGTCTGTTGTTTTGGGTGAAATTCACCCCTGTGCAGTGGGGTCAGTACAAAGCGTGTGGTCCATAGGCCAGTTACTCTGGGGGGGGGGGGGGGAAGGGTCATGATTCCACTTCATTCTGATCAGGTGCCAGGATGGGCAAAGTTTTATACAGTGGGTCACTCTTAAACTGTCCAATTCCATTGCACAAGGAAGGCAGGATGGCTTAGCAGACAGAGCCCAGCCAGGAATGCCTGAGTGCTAATCCTAACTCTGCAAAGGACTTGTGTAGCCATGGCAAGTTCCTTAAAATCCTCTGTGGCTGAGAATCCTCACAAAGATAAAAATCCTCTCCTCCTTCACAGAGTGTTGAGGGTTAATAAATGATTGCAGGGCACTTGGAAAATGGAACCTGGCATGTTTCCGTATTTGTGTCTGTCTCTATCCCTCTCCTGCTTTTAAGAAAATGTTGGTTGGAGGGGGATGTTCACCAGCATTACAAAATTACTTCCCCGCCCACCCGCCTTTTCCTAGGCTCTGAATACCCTTTCTGTGCTGGGGATTCTCCCCCTGCAACAGCCCCAACGTTGCTATTGTTGACGTCTGATTCCCTTTCTTCTCTGCTGTGCTTTTAGCCTCCGACCGCTAGACATCGAGTTCATGAGACGCCTGAGCAAAGTGGTGAACATCGTGCCAGTCATCGCCAAAGCCGACACGTTAACGCTGGAGGAGAGAGACTACTTCAAAAAACGGGTAAGGGGATGGCAGCCGCTCCCCAGCCGGCACATCTTCTCCCTCCCTTCCCCACCGCCCCCTGCAGGGCTGCAAAGCCGAAGGGCTGGCCTGGAGCCCAGAGCATTCCTTGGGCTGCAGCTCTGAGTGATCCCATGTGGCAGGAGGAAGGGCCTTCGCCTCCAAACAGTTCCTTGTGTTTCTCTTGGATTTCTGTCAGCTCACAGTGGATTTCAAGCTCTTGGTCTCTCTCTGCATGGCTGTTTTATTTTTCCCCCCAAGTCTGCTTTTATGGTTTTTAGGAGGCCGGTCCTGCTGTATGTCGAGCCTCTAAACCCTTTTTGGGGAGCCCATATTACTGCACAGCATCCTGCAATGATACAGAATCCAGGCCAAAATGTATGCGTGCTGAGCTCAGCTCTGAGATTGACGGGGGAAGCAAACGATGCAATTCCCTTGTCTCAGTCTACAGCCAAGCGTGCTGTTTCCTTGTGGTGCCGCTGCTTTGCTTTGGCTTTCAAAGGGCTATAAATCCAGTAATGTGACCGATGATGTTGCTGCAAGCGTGATGGTCTCAGCATGCGCTGCAGAAATAAGCAAGCCACCAGTCACCTCTTGGATTGCTGCTTCTCGAGTCTGAATTGCCATTCTGAGCATAAATAGCCTGGGTTTTGCCAACCCAATAGCTCAGCCAGCGTTCCATAAATATCCCCACGGAATGCAGCGAGGCTGACGCAGGAAGGAAACGGGCAAGGGGTGGAGTCAGGTAGATGCAGGGAAAGGGGTCTCAGGGTTGTCCTGCTGACTTCAGGATGTCCTGGTCCTCTAATCCAATATTAACCCATAAGAGCCCAGCAGGGAGGGGGGCTTTGTATGTGGTAGCAAATAGCTTGAGGTGCAAGGGTTCATTGTAAATCCAGGTTCAAGGCAGTGAAGGAAAATATGAAGCACAGCTAAATCCATGTGCTCTCATGTCTCCATAAGCATCTGACTTGGAGCAACAGAAGCAAAGAGATTCCCAGTTTGATTCCAGCCCATTCTTACCTTGGGCAATATAGCAAGGCTATGGGAAGAGGGTTTGCTAACGTTCTGCATGAGGAGGGACTCTCAGGGTTGGGGGGGAGAGCACAGATTGTAGTATCCAGGTCATCGGGGGATGCTATGGATTGTGGAGGGAGGCTACAGAGCTCTGAAGCCTCCCTGGCTGGAGTCTTACTCAAAGCATCGCTGCGGAAGGGGAGGAGCTGCCCTGCTCACTGAACGTCATCCGCCTGCTGGGGTTCAGAGCTGGCTTGAGCATCTCCCCGCCCCATCCATGGGGGAGAGGGCCATGAATTGAAACCACCGATCTGACTTGTGGGGTTGAATCCAAATTCCACAGCTGGGTCCATCTCTACAGTGGGCCAAGCAAAGTTTTGGAAATGGAGCCAAATCTTGTGGCCCAGCCCAGGCTGCGCTTTATCAGACAGCCCGTGCTGTCGGGGACAAGTGAAGAGCGGTTGCGGTCAGGGGGAGGGTTGTAACAGCGACGGTCTAGCCTGCCATAGTCTGGTATTTCCCGCTGACTTTTCCACAGGCCGTTTGCTCAGTTCAGAAGGTACAAGGCGTGTGCACGCGTATGTGTTGCTCCCTCTCCATCTGCCTAGCTGCTGGAGCTAGAGTCAGTCCGGAATCTGAAAATCCAGCTTGGCTCACTGTGCCTCAGATCTCATCCTTGGCAAGAAAAGCCTGTGCTTTCGGAACTGAGCTGACAATGTTGACGCGTCAGGCGCAATAGAATCCAGCTGGCTCTCCCGGTGCCGTATTGGCTTTGCAGTTAATGGACTAAACTTGGCTTTGTCAAGGAAGCAGGAACAGATAGAACTTGAAGACTCAGCAAATTTTGCCCTTCGCTCTTTCAGCCCTGTACCACCCTATTCACTCTAATTGGGTGGCAGGGGCGTCTCTGAGCAGCACTGGGCCCTGGTAGGAGGAAGGCAGGCTAAGAAGTTCCTCCTTTTTATTGAGTTACATTTTTTATCATAACCAGACTCTTAAAATCCTTCCCAAAAGGAGGTGGAAAACGTAACTGTGCTGGTCTACGCGCCATGTGAGACTGGACCCCTTGCACCCTTCTGCAACGGGCTCCAATGGAACCAATCAGCAGCTCCGGATCCTCAGCTGATGTAAATCAGGAGACAGTGGAGCTGTGCTGTTTTACACCAGCTGAGGATCTGGCCCCCAGTGGTCAAATATGGCTCTGGCAATACGGGTTAGGGGTGTATGGGTGTGTCTCTCTCTAGATCTATACACATGGGCACAGCTGTAATATGCAATAGCCTCATCTGCATTAGGTGGCCATAGTGTATTGGAAGGTGATTTAGCTGGAACTGCCTTTAAACTCTGTTTTCTGGCCCATTGTAGTGGTGACGGAGCATTAACCACCAGCGGCTGTGTTGTCCCCATTCAGATCTCAGTAGGTCCGGATTCTGTTCTTGCTTGGGTGGGGATAATTCCCATGGGCTGGGTGGCATTATTCCAGATTTACGCCAATGCTCTGTTAACTTACACCAAAGTGGAGTCCAAAGACCTGCACAGTCGTTCCTTCCCACATTAAAGCCAAACCTGCTCCTGAAACCGCAGCATGTCTTTGCTGGTGTTACGTGACTCCCCCACCCCCAAGAACGGAGCGTGCTTTCAGGTGGGGAAGTTTGTCAGAGTGGATGTTTCTGGCTTGGGGGATGGGGTTCACCTCCCCTGAAGTGCAGGGCTGATCTAGAGCCAGTGCCAGCCTCATGGCACTGGCACCATTCAGACTTGGATTCAAACGTGAGTTTTCTTCAAGGCAAACAACACAGGTGTGTTCTGGTGCTGATGGCACCCGAATCTCCCTCCAGGAACCTGGTATCCATGTGCGTCTAGTGCATGCATCTCAGCGAGATGTTCACAGCACTGGGGAGTGTGGGCCAGCACACTCTGCACGCCCCCCCACTCGGTGTCAGGGTTGCTAATCCCGTGCACATTAGAGGATTCAGAAGCTGAAAATCTGCCCTTCTCCCCGGGTGAATGGTGCAGTGCCAGTGCTTGGTTTAAACCTGACACTGATCTGGCGTAACAGACCATCCCCCTGTCTGGGTAGGATGCTCTGCCCTTTAGGCCTGGTGTGGAGGAGGGAATGACCTCACTGTTGAACGACCCAATGCTACCGTCTGCTTAAGGCAGTGAGGAGCAGTGTGTGGTGTGCCAACGGGAGTACGAGCCACTCCTCCACCTCAAACCCATGGATCTGGGGGGAGGGGGTGGCTGAGTAGCTGGTGGAGGATCAGCCCAGTGTCTAGCAGGGGAAAAGCTTTGGTGTTGTCTCAGACACCTAGCAGGTCCCAGACTGCGAAGTGAGGCTCCCTCAGAGCAAGTCTCCTGGCAGATGGTTTGTTTTCAACTGAAATATGTTTCTGAGATCCCATTCCAGGCTCTTCAGCCCCTGGGGCTTGGGTGTCACTACTCCACTGTGCTTCTCAGAGCAGGGTGCCTCTCTCCTGTGGTGTTATCCTGTGCAGGGTCCATGGTGGCGTAACCCACTGATCAGTGTGTGTCTGTCCTCCTCTGAGCTCGATCCCCAGAGAATGGGAGTCTGTTACTCTGCCCAGCTACTGAGCACGACCCTCGAGTCTGCAGCTTTAGCTCATGCTTTCAGCTCTGGAGGCCGTGGCTCAGTTTGCAAGGTATCAGCCAAGATTGCAGCCATTGCAGTAGCCAATGCCATGGAGCAGCTTGGTTTTCTCCCCACGGTGTCGGGCTGGACAGAGGCACACTGTTCCTGGAGTGGGATTTCCCACACCGTCTGTGTTCTCATTCATGGCCAGCTGCAGCGTCTACCTGAAGGGACGTTATAAAGGTCTCAGATAGAAAGAGCAAGTTCATGCATCTACAGTTCACTGAGCTGTGTGTTCCTGCCCCCACGGGATCCCTCTGAGGATCTGCAGCACCAGAACTGGGGTTCCTCTTCCAGGGAATGGGAGCAAGACAAAAATACCAAACAGTGGCTTGTTAACTTATTCCGGGGCACCCAAACTTGCCCACCTCCAAGTCTCATGAGCACGTGCCTGGAAGATGCGTGGTCGCCCTGACTTGCTGCAGATGGTGCAGGCTGTCACTACCCTTTGTCTTTTTAATATGAAGGCGGGGCCCAGCTTGCAATGCTTCATCTTGATCTGTGTGGCCTTCTGCTCCGCTCAGAGATGGACGCTATCCTGGGGGCGGTGGGGTGATGAAGAGAGGATCTTCTAGAACTTCACGGGCTGCACTTCAGGCTGGGTGGATCAAACACGTGTCCTTCACTGAGCAGTAAGGAGGGGAGGGGGGGGAAGCAAGGTTGCCTGGCTAGTTCCAAGCTGGGGAGGGCTTTGAGTTACTCTAGGGCCATTCAGGATTGTGCAGGATGCAGCCCTGCTATGCTGCTGGGGAGGCTGAAAGGCAGCAGTCTTGGTCATGGAGTCTAACGTGGTGTCCTTTCCGTGTCCGTCTTCTTCAGATCACGGCCGACCTGCTCTCCAATGACATTGACGTGTATCCCCAGAAGGAGTTTGATGAAGACTCTGAGGACCGGCTTGTGAATGAGAAATTCAGAGTGAGTGGACGGTACTTTCATCCTGTAGCACTGTGGCCCAGAGCTCTTTGGGCTGGGCCCTACGGCTCCAAAGGCTTGTGAAGATTTTGTGGGGGTTCAGCAAAGTGCCTGTATTTCCTTTCCAAGGCTGGTGCACTTTACCCCTGTTTGTGCACAGAGACTGGAGACAATATAGAAAGAGAGGGTGGGAGATTTGCTCCCAAGGGCATGAGTATTGCCTGATTTCAGCCTTAGCCTGGGATGCTGAGCCCCGTCCTCCTGGCAGCGGGCTGGCTGGGTGTTTGCTCCACTTCCCTCCCACAGGGATAGGAAAGTAGGTAGAGTGGCCTTCCTTCTTGTGTTGTGTCCCTGACACCGCTGGTCTGGGCCTTGGGGAATATTGGCCGTTGCTGCTGTCCAAGGAGCAAGCGAAGGCCTCCTGCGGCTGGCGTTTGGGGGCTGGGGCTGTGACTTGTTTCCAGACGGCTCATTGAGAACTGGCCTGGCTGTTAGAGTCCGGCTCCCTAAATGTGACACGCTGGACCATGGTCTTCACCCAACAGGGGCCCTGGAGGCAAAGCCAGGCTGGGAAGCTAGGCTAGGAAGAGGAGGGCTCTGAATGAGAATGTTTCCCAGCCCTTTGGCACCCACTGGTACTTTCTGACTCTGAGGTGCGACAGCTGGCAGTGGGGCAGCAAATCAGCCATTAGCGATGGGCTAGTGTCATCTTTCTGCCACTCTTTCAAGCCCTCTTGCCCTTTGAGGTGTCGCTGCAGCTTCCTCCTAGGTCAGGGGGTGGGCAAACTATGGCCCGCAGGGCTTTGGATCCGGCCCACGGGATTGCCCCCTGTGGCGCCGCAGGCGCCGTGCCGCTTTCAGCAGCGGCCGGCCTGACGTCCCTGCGGCCCCTGGGCCCTTGCCTCCAGGCACCGCCCCCCGCAGCTCCCATTGGCCAGGAATGGGGAACCACGGCCAATGGGAAATTCGGGGGAGGTACCTGGAGGCCCAGCAAGGGGCAGCAGCGCTTCCTGGAGTGGCGCGGGGCCAGGGCCAGGGCAAGCATGCAGGGAGCCTACCCTCGCCCCCGTGCATGCTGCTGCCACCCCAGAGCCCGAATCCCTCCTGCACCCTGCCCCCCAACTCCCTGCCCTAAGCCCCCTGCCTGCACTGCGCACCCCTCCTGCACCCCAACTCCCTGCCCTGAGCCCCCCTCGTACACCCCGCACCCCTCCTGCACCCCAACCCCCTTCCCTGAGCCCCCTCCCGCACCCCAACCCCTTGCCCCAGCTCTACATACAATTTCCCCACCCAGATGTGGCCCTTGGCCCAAAAAGTTTGCCCACCCCTGTGCTAGGTTATGATTCTCCCTCAACAGCCTTTAACAAGTGGGCAGAGGAGCCCCTCCGCGCTGTGCGCTGTTGCCAAGCCATGTACAGGCGATGCCCTTTTCCTGTCGCGCTCTGGGTGGAGGCATCCTGTTCTCTGAAGAGAATTTCCCTCTGGCGGCACTATTGATTGGAGGCTCTAAATAGTAAGAGCTAGCCGAGAGGGGCACGATTGGAAGGGAGCAGCCAGGATAGAGATGCGTTGGCAGATTTTTATTGGTGTCTGTGACTGGAGCAGCAGGGGGCGTTGCAACAAATGGTGCTAACAGCATTCACAGAGCTGTGTGTGAGGCCCTGCCCAGCGCTTGCTGAGGTGATCCGTCCCCTCGCTTTGGTTTTCGAAAGCCCCCAATCCCCCATTTTTAGTCCTGGCTGCCTGCCGTGTTTCCCAGAGCTACCACCAGTCTCCCAAAGGGAAGCCAAGGAAGCTGGGCCCTTCTTGGGAGAGCAGCTGCTGTTGGGTTGGCCCCACACATGACGGCGGCGATGTTTCTAGCCTCCGTTGCTGTGCCCCCATTAACGTGCATTGGAAACAGACAAGTCAAACCTATGGAGATGTTCCTGTGAAAGTCGTCAGTAAAAAATCCCCTCTGTAGATTTCTCTGGAGGATAGACCCACAGCCCGGAGACCAGAGCTCTTAAACACTTACCGGAATGGCTTTGCCTGCCGGGCTGGCTGTGGATTATCCTACCCAAGGCCGCTCTGCCCAGTTTGGTTTACCTGCTGGCTTCCTGGATGAAGCCATTAACCTGTGCGCTATGTTCTGTCCCTCCAGGAAATGATTCCTTTTGCAGTGGTGGGCAGTGACCAGGAATACCAGGTTAATGGGAGAAGAATTCTTGGAAGGAAAACAAAGTGGGGCACCATTGAAGGTAGGGGCTGTCGTCGTTTGCTCCCACCACCCCCGTGTCTGTCTTCTGCAGTGTTTGAACGGGAAGTCAAAGGGTGGTAATTGGAAGCATGTGTAATATGTGGATAGAGCGCGCACCACTGCCCTCTACAGAATAGAGCAGGGTCCAGTTCTGGGGTTTTGATGGGAGTGGATCTTGAAAGCCTTGTGACACTGCAGAGCCCAGGCCAAGCATCCCAGAGCTGGGGTCTCATGGCTGGTGGGCAGTCTGTGTGAAATGGCTCTGGCAGCTCTCCATTCGCAGCGAAGCAGACACGGGTGAGGTTCCCTCCAGAATGGTGCTGAGGCCCTACAGAGGAGATTACACGGCTGCTATTGAAGGAGAAGCACTGGTGTTTGATAAGTGGTCATAAGGGAGGCAGAATGGCCCAGTGGTTAGGGCATCAGGCTGGAGTCCAGGAGACCTGGGTTCTGTTTCTAGCTCTGCCACTGAGCTGGTGTGACCTTGAGCAAGTCACTGGCACTTGTGGAACCTGTCTCCCCTCTTACCGCTTTCTCTGCCTTGTCTGTTTAGACTGTTAGCTCTTTGGGTCAGGCACTGTCTTAGTGTGTACATGCCTAGCACAATGGAGCCTGATCTCAGCTGAGGCCAGTGAAGGTGCTACTGTAATACAGATCAAGAGCTCCCCCTCCTATGCTTCCCCACAGGGCTTTGAAATATTTCAGTCTCTGATGCCTGTTCCATGCTCCCCTCACCCCTCTTGCCCTTCCCTCCGCCCCCAACGCAGTGCATCCCCGCACCTCCCAAAGCAACATTCCCACCGCTGCCCTGCAGTGTCATGGGAGTTGAAGGACCAAGGAAGGAGAGGGCTCCTGAAGAATCCCTGTGATTGAGGGTGAGAGCAGGGTCATTTCTGAGCCCTTTCATTGTTCTCCTGACTGCTGGTTAGGAGGGGAGGATCCTCCACTGCTCCCGTTGTTTTCCTTTCTGTTGTCTCCCTTCTCTCCTGTCTTCTGCCCTGATGCCAGCATCTTTCTCTTGTTCAACAACTGCCCCAAAGGAGGGGCCTGGCTGCAGGAGTGCCATGTAAGTGTGGAGATTCTCTTAACAGGCTCTAGAAATCTCTGTTTCCCTAGCCTGCAGCCATTGTTGGTGCAGTTGAGCCTGGAAATCTGTAGTCCAAGGTGACCTGAAACTGCCGCATTCTGATGGAGAAAGACGGGAAGGGAGCACATGAGGGGATGGGGATTCCGTGTGCATTTTCCACCAGAATCATCTGGTCTGCCCTGGAGACTAGAGAGTGAGGGAGGAGAAGATGATATTCCAAGAGAGCTATCGTGGGGGGTTGGGCTGTCCCTTGTTTAACTACAAGGGCCAACATACACTGGAGAGAGAGCAAGCCTTTGTTACATATTCACCCCCTTTATCCCTGCAAGGTCCTAGAGCTCCCCATACCCATCTCTGCTGCCTCCCAATGGTTCTCCAGAGAAGACTGGACACGCCTGCTATTGCTGAGGAGGAACGTGTGCCTGTTAGGAGGTGGCACTCCCATTCGACGGCTTTTATCTGTCCAAAGGAACAAAAATGGGCACAGCCCCAAGTTAGCACTTTTTTTTGCCAGTCACCTTCAGTGGATTCAGCTGCACTAGCAATAGCCACTGTGCTCAGTTGGGACTAGTGTATGACTTTCTCTGCCCCACGGAATAGTCTCCACCCACCTACCCCCACTCCCTAATCAGCAGAGGCTGGGAATGAAGGATACTGAGTGGTGCCATCTTTTGCCTCTCTGAAAACGCTAGGATCAAGTTGAATGGGGGCGGGGCCCTTCTTCCCAGCCCCTTTCTCCTTCCCATCCCCCCAGTGCCTGCAGGGGGCGCACAGCCTTTTTTTCCATCTTGCTGCTTCATGAAAGGGCCCACAAATAGCCATATCCAGCTCCTCAGGCCCTCCCTGCCTTGCATCTGGAAGGGATTCTCCACGCACCAAGCCAGTCTCCTCAGTTGCTTCAGGAGCCTGAAACCGAATGCTGGCTGCCTGCGGGGGGGTTGAGGGGGGTGTCTGTGCAGACGGGCAGCCTCTCAGCACCCGCTGGGGTGTTTGAATAGTCCTGTCCAGGACTCTCGCGGGATCTGTTCTTCTCTCTTCCCCACCACGTGCTGAACCTTCCTTTCTTCTTCCTCTTCCCCTCTGCTTTCCTCTTTTCATTTCTTTTTTTTTTCCTCCCTTCTTTCCTTCCACAGTCAGTTTCACGCCAGCATTTCACTGGGGAAGCATACCTCTAACAGATGACACATGCTCTGCTCTCGGTAGCGAGGATCCCAGAGGCACAGTCCATGTGATTTCACTGCTCCCTCCCTCTCTTCCCCCCCACCTTCCATTTCAGAGCTTTTTCGATTCTTTTTATAGAAATCCTATTTTGAGTAAGCGCTTAACAAAGATGCCAGAGAAACCCATTTTATTTTAAACCCTCGGATGCCCTCTTGTGGCCCGTTCTTGGTAACTCTCAAGGCTTGGCAGTGATGGTCCTGGGTGGGTTTGTGAGAAATGCTGGTCATCCTTCAGGTGGGGGGTATCTGCCTTCAGTATAGGGAGACTCAAGGACCCAACATTTGCCATTGGTTATGTTGCAGAAATAGTGTTGTTAATCTGCTTGCTATTTGAGCATTGTGTTCACCCATGTAGAAAACAAAGGGATCCTTTGCCCAAGGATCTGTCCCTCTGAATTAGACCAAGAGCACTGTTCAAACACACAATGTACTGAGAGCAGGACAGAGGATGATCACACAGCACTGTGATCTTTTTTTAAAGGCTTTTCTCTCCACGCAGCTTTTAATCCAAACAGTCCCAATAGTAGATCATGTCATTCCACAGCATGAATCAAGATTGGGGGGAGGGGCAGACTAAGGCCCAGAGATCTGCTCCAGGTCCCACAGGAAGTCTGTGGTAAAGCCAGGAATTGAATCCAGGGCTACTGAGTCACAGTCCAGTACCTTAACCACAAAACCATTCTCCCCTTTGCCTTTCCGGTTACCCAGGCCATCCCGGGAGACACTTACGTTGAAACAGATTCGTTGTTTGCGAGGAGTCACTTGGTGCCCCTTGCCTTGGTGACGCAGTGAAGTGGTAGTGGGCTTACACTGGAGGGTGTTCACTCCAGCAGCGAGTGAGCGTGAGCAGAGGAAACAGACATGAAAGCTCTTCCCGTCTCTTGCCAGCTGTTCTTTAGGCAGGTAACAGCTAATGAGCCTCTGTGTAAATATCCTGGCTTACGATGGCAAAGAGGCTTTTTCCTCATGACAGGCAAACGTTGATTTTAAGCCCATGGAATCCCTCAGCTGAGTGACCCTTCTGCTGGGCTGAAGCTCCGGCTCCAGGCTGTTTGCAAGCCCACCGTGCATGGGTGCAAATTCTGAAACCAAAGGCAGAGTCCCGCTTGTCCTGAAATTGCTGCCTTGCTTAGGAAACGTGGCTGTGTTCTGGGCTGCGGCCTAACGGTTTGCCTCCTCTTCTCCTTTCCAGTTGAGAACACGACACACTGTGAGTTTGCTTATCTGCGGGATCTCCTGATCAGGTCGGTATAACTGCTCTTGGGTGAGAAAGAGACTCCATTGTTGTGTTCGTCTCACTTCTGCCAGCAGGTGGCATCAAAGGGAAGGGCAGAGCTCAGCGGTTGCTTGGTGCATGAGCTGCTTTATCCTCTCTGCCCTTGCTTCTTGCAGATCACAGTAGCAACAGCTGCTGTGCAATCCATAGCCTCTTGAATGAGGACGTGAACTAGGGGGCTTCCCGTGTGCGCTGGCCAGCAGGAGAAGTTAGGGAGTAGGGAATGGGAAGGGAGCCCTGCTGTCAGACTAGCGATACCCACGAAAGAGGCATCCCAAAGATTGCTTCGGGCCCAGTGTCTCCTGCATCAACGTGCCAGCTGCCCATTGCCACAATACATCTCCATGCCCTCCAGTTGGCTGCTGTAGCACTGGGCTCATACTAGTGAGTGGAATCCCAGGTGTGGTTCCCTACAGTGGCAAAGGTGATGCTCTAAACCCCATTTAAACCCTTCTGAAGAGTAACCACCTCCAGGCCTAAAACTTCCGGCACAAATAAGACTAGTCCCTGCAGTCACACCAGCTAGGTTAAAGCGATAAGGGGCGTTGGACTTGTGTATCGTGGCTTAAGTTGATTGCCAGCTTGGATGGGGGGAAACTTCCCCTCATGATATATGGAGTCTAGGAATTCCAGGCCTTTCCCTGAAGCCCCTAGCTCTAGTCACTGTCGGCGGTATTACACTGGAGTCCAGGGGCCATTTGGTCAGCTCCTGGGTGAAAGATATGACTGACACGCAGCCTGACTTTGAGACGGGCCCAACCTGCTGTTTGGGTGTGAGTCACGCTGCTCTCAGAAGTGCTTTGCAGACTAAAGGGCGGGCAGCAAGTGGAGAGAGGGGCATGCTGGTTGCAGAGTTGTGCGTAAGGGCCCCTGTGAGAGGAAGAGCCTTCTCCACAGGTAGCAAAGCTGCAGAGAGCTCTGAGCTGGGGAAACCTGTGGCGGCCATTCCCTGCCAACGCAGGCTGCTTCCCTGAGTGTATTCCACCACTCCACATAACCCCCTCTAGGCAGTCAGCCCTGAGGTATGGGCTTTCCCCACCCCTGCAAATAGTGTGCAGGGCTCAATACCTCCCCCATGAGCCAGGCTAGATCTGCCCGGAGCCTTTCCTCCAACAGTAATCCCATGGCCAAGCCCTTCCTTGCCATCGCACTAGATCACCTGTCAATGCCCTCCTCAGAACAGCAGGGAATCGAGAGAAACTGAGAGTTGTGGGGAGGGGGCTGATGGAGGCTCTGTGCTACCACTTGCCTCTCCCATATGAGTGATTCTTCCCCCAGGGGAATGGGAGGCCAAGCTGCTCTTGTTCCCCCTCCCCGTTATCAAAGTTTCCCTGAGCCAATGGCTCATCAGGCCAAAGTGGTTAAGGCACATCTGTTTCCTAGCCCACGGGACCAAGGAGCAATGTGGCCAGCATTGCCTCCGCCCACCTTTGACTGTCCTAAGTGGATGGGGGCCCATATGGGGGCCTCGTGAACTGGAGGTGGTCTTTGCATGAGATTGAGCAAGACTTGAACCCCTGACTTTCAGAACTGTACTTGAGTGCCTTAGCCACTCCGCTACCGCATCTCATGGGAGGAGGGTGGAGATGCAGAGGTTATGGGGGTCAGAGAGGCAGTACTCTTCCAAGACCTGCCTATACTGTAAGCTCTGCCCACTGCAGATGCTCCGCCTACTCGCAGTCTTCAGAGGGTCAAAATATGAGCCTGTGGGCTCTTTGGGCCAGGCTTTCTGTAGAGGGGGACCACACACGTCTGTTGGGGCAATTTTAATGAACAAGGGCAGTTGGCATCTCTCAGGGCTGTTGTTCCAACTGCATCAGGTACATTGGGGTCACATTCTCGAGGTTCCCAGAATAATGAGAAGGGCTAGAGACCTTGAAATTGCGGGGTTTGAGGTGGCAGCATGGGAGAGGTGGTGGCAGACTCTGCTGCCGTGAAAGCCCCATTGTGGGGCCACGCATCTGCGCAGAGAGATCTCATTTAACCAGCTTCTCTGCTTCCCTCAGGACACACATGCAGAACATCAAGGACATTACCAGCGGCTTCCACTTTGAAGCCTACAGAGTGAAGCGGCTGAACGAGGGCCGGAGTGCACTCTCCAACGGCGTGGCCGACCAGGAGGCCAACGAAATGTAACCGTCTCGCTCCGTCGCCAGGACCCAACGCGCTCGCGCTCTCATTTCTTCCCCTCCCCCCCTTTATTTTTATATAATTCTTCTGCCACCGCCACCATCCCCCTCCCCCGCGCTGCCGATGTTAACTGACCAAATAACCTGATGCCGTATCTATCATGAAGAGCGTGGTGACTGCCAGGCCCCTGGCGCTGCCCGCCTCGTGGCGCAGGGGTTCCGTTCTCAGCTCCCGTTGGGCGTAGCGAGGGGCAGCTGGGTGGTTGGACAGGATGGCAGGGGAGGGGAGGAGATGACTGTTCCAAGTCAGAAGTCAGTCTCTATTTATTATCTAACACTAGCCCAAAGTGTAACCCCAGGGTAGGTGGAAGAGCCCCCTCCTCGCGAAGGCCTGCTCCAACTAACTCTACCTGGCTTCACCAGGAGCTGGAGCGGGCTCCGAGGGTTGCTTTATAATGAAATCCAAGCCATTAGGTAGGGGTGAGTCTCCTCCTCCTTGCTCACAGGAGCCGATAATGAAATTAATCTGATTTCTCTCTCCTCCGTGTCTTGAAACGGCGCCATGGAGTGGGGCCGGGGGCTGTCTCGGAGAAGAGGCGGCCTGCCCTCCTTGCTGCCATGCATCATGTCTGTAAAGCTCGTTGGAACCAGATGGCTTTGCCCTGCGTCATGTGGCTCTTTTATTTTCTCCTCCGTCCATTGAAGGCAAGGCTTTCTCTAAGTAAACATGGCCTTCATAAGCGAGGTGCGGGCATGAGGATAGATAGGGAAGGTGATCACAAGCTTACCTCTGCTTCCTCTCTTCTGCCCCCAGCCCTGTGCCTAGCCAACCCACTCACTCCACTCCCTGTTACCTGCCTACATGCAATAAGCCAGGAATGCCATGGAGTGACTCATGGATCTTTAAATCCCAGCCCGTTCTGAGAGAAGTGCCTTTGAATTCAGCTCCCATGCAATAGCTAGTTTCTGTGCAGCCTGCCAAATGCCAATTGAGATTGACTCTCCAGAGATGATTCTTCCCAGTTTTTCCCTGTCACTCAGTGCTTGGATCATACCTATGGCTGGTTTCCTGGGAACACTTGTGTATTTATTTTTAATTCAGTGTCCTTGTTGAAGGCTCAGAGTACGTTTGTGTGTGAAGGGGGCTGAGAACAGAACCATCTCTGCAAAGCACGGGCAGGGGGCCGGAATTCTTTGTACTGTGTGACTTGTGTGTTTTATTAGGTTTTAAATAAGCCAGAGGAGGCTGTTGGATCAATTTGGTTTATTCCTTTACCTGGGCAACTTATATGTACATAGCCAGTTCCTTAATCTGGCAATGCTTTCTCTAGAGAACCATGTGCGTGCACACAGACCGAGCCCCGCATGCCACACGCATGTTAGAAGCCTTCAGCTGTAAGAAAGGCTAGGCTGGTATCTCACGCAAGCTTTGTAGTATAGGGTCCTTGATCCCCAACATGGTCTGTTGACTTAGATCAGCTACCGTAAACGCCAAATGTGCTTAAATGAAACTCCATGCAGGGTCAGAACCACCCATCTGCAAGTCGATCTTCGAGCAGAAATCCAATGCTCTGCCTTCAACTTCTGTCTAAAAGCCCAGCCCCAAGAGAGATTCTGGTGCCTGTCCAACATCACTTTTCTGACCCCCCCGTGGAGGTGTAAGACTGTGCCCAGATTGTCTCCTCTTGGTGCTCCCACAAACTGGCAAAGGTGTCCCAACTTCCAGCCTCATGGAGACTCCTGCAGAGCCCCCTGAGGGATGAGACCAGTTACACGTTTACAGTCGGTAGGAAGGTTTTGAAGAGGGATGCTGTTCTCGCCTTGATTCAGAGGCCCGCATGCTCTTCTTCATCAGTGGAGTATCTGCAGACTGCTGCTCCCCCCACATCACTCTTCAGAGACCCAACCATAGAGGGTGCTCAGGGCTGCATCCCTCCACGCCATTTCCAGCTGTCTTACTATCCATGCCAGGCCGGTTGCAACAGGAACCCATTGCAGGCGCATTGAGTTTAGCAGGGCCCAATTCCGCATGATAGCAGAGGGAAGTAGCATTTTGCAAGATCGCCCCCCTTCGTGCCTGCATGGGCAGATGTTCTATACTGGTGGGTTTGGTTATGGGACACATGATGTGTCTGTGCAGGTGTGTTTGCCTTGCAGGTAAAATCTGTACTCCCCTTTAACTCTGTTTCGCCCCCCTCCTGGAAAAAATGTAGGAATTTTTACAGAGCTGTGTTAAGTTGAGGAAAATGAATTATTTACTTGCTGACTTGCTATATTTTAGCAAAAACAAACTATTGTGTATTAACTGAAAAATGTATGAATTTCAAGTGTTAAGAAGACTATTAAAGGGGAGGGTAGAAAGTCTTTTCTGCGTGATGCACTTCTGCAATTATCACCATCTTAAACTCCTTTCCTAGACAGTATCTCAAGCTGGGCCAAGCAAGACATGCCGCTTTCTCCTTTGTAATCTAATTTTTGGGAAAAAAATGTTTAAAAAAATTAATCCAGATCTATTAAATATGGCCTTTTGGGTGTTATATGCATTATGACAAATTTAGTCCTTTTTTGTATAAATAATAGTGTTTAATATGTATTTCCCAAAATAAATGTTTCAAATGCAAATGGAAAGAGGCTTACGTGGAAATGTTTGGTGGTTGTTTTTTTCAGAGCCACACAACCTCAGGAAGGTTGATCTGGTGTCAGAACTTTTACTATGCAAGGGCATTTCTTCCTGAGGGCAAACCCAGGGGCTGCAGGGATTGTGTTAGGGTCACCGTAGGTGGGGCTCTTATTCGATTGCTACGGTCCCAGTGCCACCATGCTGGGGTATTGGGAGTGCCACTTTTGAATAAGACAAAAGAGGTCCTGTGGCTAATAAAGATCCCTCTGGTTCTTTCAACAATAATAAGGATATTGGGCCAGATCTGGGATATAAGTGGAGATGGATGCTGAGCATCCTTAAAAATCTGGACAGGCAGCTGCAGTGCCCTAGCCAAATTCTATTATGGGTGACCAACCTCCCTCAGCTCCTGTATTGTTTCATTCTGCTAAGGTATTCCCATGCCTGTTACTGGTACTGTTCTAACAGAGGCTGCATTTCACTTGAGGCAATACCAGGAGCCTTTACTGGACCAACGCTCGTTAGTAAAGACCAAGAAGCTTCATTGAACGTATTCAGCTTCACCGGTGCCCATCAGTCCTGTCCCAGTATGGTCAGGTCTTGCTGGGACCGAGCAGAAAAGGGTTATTAGGCTAAGGGGTCCAAAGAACTGGAACCCATCAGCTGCACTATAAACCAGACAGGAAGTGGAAGGTGAGGGGAGCCCAGGGTACAATAACCGCTGTCGAGGGGAAGGACTCCTACATTTTCACTGGGTTTGTAAATGGGAAGGGGAGAGTGGCTGGAGCTGGCTGAGACACGAGGACCTCTAGGTGCTGTGATACTTAAGAGGAAAAAGAGACCTTTTAAGTACCGTATATTCTTCTTCAACACCCTCTCCAGAGCAGTGTGGTAGGTGGCAGCAGCGGCCCTAGCCATTTTGCGGGCCAGCATGGAAAATGGTTTTGGCGTGCCCCTCCCTGCAGCAGCTGAGCCAACCCACACCCACCCCGCACTTGCAACCAGCCAATCAGCAAAGCAAACAAAAAGACACCTAATCACAGCCTGGCAAACCAAACCAAAAAGAAAAGCCCAGCAGTGTGCCACCTTAAAGGGAGCAGCCTGCCCCAGAACCAGCCCTGGTTGGTGGGGCAGGGGGAAAGAGTTGCAACGGTGAAGGCAGCAGAGATGGGAGGATTTGAGGGCAGTGGGATCCAGACAGGAGATACTCAAGGGAGAGGTTCCTGAGCAGTCTGTGTGAATGAAGTGATCATGGATGGGCCCCACTTTTCAGGCACACGATGCACTAGCTAGCATAAGTATAGCTGTTCCCTGAGACTCTTATGCTGCTTGGATGAGTGTTTGGGGGCAAGACCCTTAATGAACATTCCCCAAAGGCTGCAGCTCCACTGGAGGAATGAGGTCTGGCCTCAGTGAAGGACCCTGGAGTCCCTGGGTGGCGGAGCTGTAGCATGGAACTGGAAATGGGTGGTTGGGAAAGCAGCTGGGTAGAACCCTGGTGCTGGGAGTAGGATGAGAAAGCCACTGTTCAGAGACCGGTCTGGGGTGGGAAAGAAGCAAGTGCTGATGCAGGAAGAGAGGATGTGCTGACCTGAAAGCACTGAGTTGCGCTGAGGTGATACTGGGATGTGCCTTTCCAACACACAGTCTCACAACATGGGCAAGTGCTATTCTAAGAATGGCCATACTGGGTCCACCAATGGTGCGTCTAGCCCAGTGTCCTGTCTCTGACAGTGGCCAATACAAGACCTTCAGGGAGAGTGTAAAGAACAAGCAATTGGAGTAAGCCACCCCTTGGCTTCTCCCAGCTTCTGGTAGTCAGGAGTTTTTGGGTTGCTCCAAGCATGGGGTTACACCCATGGCCATCCTATCCTCCATGAACTTATCTAGTTCTTTTTTTAACCTGGTTATACTTTTGACCATCACAACATCCCATGGCAATGAGTTCCACAGGTTAATTGTGCTTTGTGTGAAAGGATTTCCTCTTGTTAGTATTAAACCTGCTGCCTATTAATGTCAGCAGGTGATGCACACCCCATTTTTGTATTGTGGGAAAGGGTAAATAACACTTTTTCCTCACACCAACCATGATTTTATAGATGTCTATCATATTGCCCCTTAGTCATCTCTTTTGTAAGGTGAACAGCCCTAATCTTTGTAGTCTCTCCTTGTGTGAAAGCCATTCCATATTTTTTATCCTCTTTGTTGCCCTTCTCAGAACCTTTTCCAGTTCCACTATATCTTTTTTGAGATGGAGCAACCAAAACTGGACACAGTACTCCAGGTGTGGGCACACCATGGATTTATATAGTGGCATTATGATATTTCCCGATATTTGTCTTCCTTGAGTGCTCTGTTAGCACCTCGATCATCCAGTAATCCCATTGCCTGTTTGGCAGGCTTCCTGCTTCTGATATCCTTAAAAAAATGTTTACTGTTAGTTTTTGCATCTTTAGCAACTTGCTTCTCAAATTCTTTCTTGGCCTGCCATCTTATACTTATACTTAAACTGACAGAGTTTTTGCACCTGATAGCCTCACTAGGCTCTGACTTGTAAAATTTAAAGGATGACTTTTTGCCTCTAAAAGCCTCCAGTTCTTTTCTGTTTAGCCATGCTAGCATTCTTTTGGTCCTCTTATTATCTTTTCTGATTTGGGGTGTACACTTAGTCTGAGCTTCTGTTATGGGATTTTTAAATAGTGCCTATGTTGCTTGCAGGTATTTAATCCTTGTGACAGTGCCTTTTAATTTCCAGCTAACATCCTCATTTTTGTGTAGTTCCTCTTTTTGAAGTTAAACGTTACCGTGGTGGTTTTTTTCATATTATCCCCACTACAAGGATGTTAAATGTAATTACATTATGGTCACTATTATTGAGCAGTTCAGCTAGTCTCTTTGTGGGTTCTTGGTGCTTCTGTGTGGATGGAAGTATATTGTCTTATAATTGTCAGATGTGAAATATTTCTGTCTAGCAACTCCGATATACAGTAGAACCTCATTTATCTTGCAACCCCCTTTAGCCCAATTTAAATAGTGAAGGGGTTATGTCCATTGCTGAACACTTTGTATTAAAGTTCCTCCCATTTCTCCAAAATCCAATTAGTCCAGATAAATTCTTGGTCCCCCATTGTCTTCCGACAAACGAGATTCTACAGTCGTGAAACTGTCTGCACAGAGCGTCTCATTGTTTTAGTGAATTGCAATGGGCAGATGGCCACTTGAGCTGAAGTTCTTATGAAAAAGGCCTGATGTAGATGATGTAGCACTTACGAATGAGCTAGAGAGCTTCGCCTAGAGATGTGACTGCAGTAATGCCCCCCTCCCCCCAGCTCCCACAAGCGTTACCTCATCATGCAGGCTTTCCCTAAGATCCTATTTCAGCCTGTAAGCAATTTACTCCTGCACAAAGCAAAAGACATGGGAGCAAAGGGTGCCCAGCACATTGCAAGCTCCAGCCCAGTGAGTGCACAGAGCTAGCCCAATGTTTCTGCTGTATCCAACAAATGTTCCTGAGCACGATGCAGAGGGCTGCCGGGAAACAGCTTGGGATGGGCAAAATTCCTCTTCTCCGAAAAGGGGACTGTACCGTTCAACTCGGCTGAAGAACCGTTCCTCTGGGTCAAAGGCCATTTCACGGGAATGGCACAGCGAATGGCTTCCAGCTGTTCGGATGCTATGGAAAGGTGGTTTTTATAAAGGAGACAGCAATAAAGCCAGCTGCTCTGAGGAAGCTCTGACACGTTATGTACAGTCTGCTCTGCTGGCTGCAGCTGGACTGTTAATACAATATTGCTCCCCCAAGATTTAAAAACCTCCCTACTTTTATTTATGAAAAATACAGAGCTGCCAGTGTGTTATGAGAAGTGTACAGTTCCCGCCCCGCCCTCGTTGCAAGCGCATACCCAACTCAGGGCTAGGAGGCAGATCGGCCCTTTGTGAAATCTCACAACTTCTTGTCATAAAACTTTTGGCCCAAAATAGTAGAAATCCTGGGAGCTCAGCTGTTTGTGGGGCTTCAGCTGCCTTGAAGCAGGAACTGGTTTGGAACTGAAATGTAGCCCCATGTTAATCTAGGTTAGAGAGAGAGGGATTTTGGCTAGTTTGGATACGGGGTCCTCAAAAAGTGAAGGGATTTGAATCTGATTTACTTGGCTGGGTCTGCAAAGGCCAGGAAGGAGTTAACGCAGCCCCAGGGAGAAGCAGAAGGGGGACCAGCTGAGTTCAATTACAGAACCATGGTGAGGAGGCCTGGCCCCTCAGTGCTAGGGCTGAGTTAGGAAAGTTCTTTCTGAGAACCCTGAGGAATGAACTGAAGATATATGTGCTGAAGGACCAGACCGGAGGCTCGGCCAGCAACAAGAGGTACTCACTGTGGATAAAAGAGATCTGTGGCTAACAGGTTCACTGGGGGCTGGCTGGAGCCACTTGCCCCCTCATACCTTGCTGGCTACAATAAGTCCTAAGGGCCTTTTTGCCCACCGGCAGCTCTTGGGACCGAAGGGGACGACTATACACAAAGGTTAAAGTAAGCAGGAATTGGGGGTATGGTAGCATAGCGGGAGAAGGGCTCACCTCTCCTGAAAACAGAGGGGAAGATTCCCTTCCTTTCCTGGCTGGGGAGTACAACAATCCCCCTTTTAGACCGGTACCATGAGAGCTCCTCCTCTGGTTTCCATCTACTTTAACTGCTGGTTACATCTGAATGAGCCAGTTACAAACAGAAAAGAGAATGAGACTAAAACTTCCCATGCTGGGCTCCATATAAAGAGTTGGTGGCATTTCTGAAAGGGCTCAATAGAGGGAGGCATTCCCCAGTGTATTCTCCAAAGGGCCTGTGATCTATTAAAGAAATCAACCCACAATAGTTATTTCAGGCTTTGCTCTACTAACCCCCCTGTGTTAGCAAAATCACAGTATAATGATCCTTTAATTCAACCTGAGATTTACCCTTCCAGGAGAAGGCTGGTCTAGTGGTTAGGGTGATAGTCTTAGACTCAGAAGA